CAGGGGCCGCGTCAGCAGGGCCGGGCCGTGACAGCAGGGGCCGCGCTAGTAGGGGTGGCGACGGCAGGGGGCCGCGATAGCAGGGGCCGCGACAGCAGGGGGCCGCGTCAGCAGTGGGGCCGCGCCAGAAGGGGCCGCGCCAGCAGGGGGCCGCGTCAGCAGGGGCCGCGCCAGCAGGAGGCCGCGTCAGCAGGGGGGGCCGCGTCAGCAGGGGGCCGCGTCAGCAGAGGCCGCGCCAGCAGGGGCCGCGTCAGCAGGGGGCCGCGTCAGCAGGGGGCCGCGCCAGCAGGGGGCCGCGTCAGCAGGGGGCCGCGCCAGCAGGGGCCGCGACGGGGGGCTGCGACAGCATTAGTGGCCGCGTCGGCAGGGGCCGCGTCAGCAGGAGGCCGCGTCAGCAGGGGCCGCGCCATCAGGGGGGCGCGTCGGCATTAGGGGCCGCGTCAGTAGGGGGGCGCGTCAGCAGGGGGCCGCGGCAGCAGGGGCCGCGTCAGCAGGGGCCGCGCTAGCATGGGGCCGCGCCAGCAGGGGCCGCGACGGGCTAGGGCCGCGACAGCAGTAGGGGCCGCGTCGGTAGTAGGGGCCGCAACGGTAGGTGGGGTCGCGACGGCAGTAGGGGTCGCGACAGGCAGTAGGGGTCGCGACCAGCAGGGGCCGTGACGGGCGACAAAGGGGCCACGACAGGCAGGGCGCGATGCGCGCTTCGGGCAGGGCAGGAAAAAAAAGTTGTGGTGGGCCCTTAAAAAAAAAAACGTTCCCACTAGGGAACCTGCTCAGAATACCATGTTAGAATGTGAGCGAATGAATGATTGAACTAGGAAGCAGGTGGGTACAAGTAGCAAACCTAAAAGTGTTGTACCCTATAAGAACTACCCACTACAGCCTAAACAGACTATAGCATATAAGTTTGACACTTGCCCCAGTGGATGCCTGTTGATCGGGATGCAAAGGGAACGCACGTTGAGAGGTAAGGGGGAGAAAGTATGCCATACAAAGGTATGGGGGAGAGAGAGAGTACGCCATACGAAGGTATCGTGGAGTGTTTGCATCATACAAAGGTAAGGGGGAGAGGATGTATAAAAAGTCCAGGCTCGAACGTTGGTTACTCACCCGGAAGTGTGTCAGGATCACCCGGCTCTCTCTTGAAGAGATCCCTGAGTCCCTGCAGCCATTGAGGTAACCTTACCTCACGCCTCGCCCGCGTGCTAGGGTAAGCACTCTGACGGAAGAGTCGAGCTCCTTTCACTGACGACAGATCCTTCATACGATCAGTGAGGTTGAAGACAACCTCCTTGGCAAACTCGCTGGCAAGGTTTATGCATGCTTGCAGGTCTGACCCGCTGGTCTGCCCCTTCAGGTGCTTCTCGTGCAGCTCGTATGTGTGGGTGGTGGGCGTGCCGTCTGAATCAACACCCTCCAATTTCACAGAGCGCTGCTGGCGACTCTGATGTTCTTGCAGGAACACTGCTAACATGCCACTGTTGTCGCCGAACGCATCCTTGTAGTCGATGTATCGGCTACTTAGGGTGTTCAGCGTGTGCTGCAGAACTGGCTGAACCACTGTCATGTCAACCTGTCGAAGTGGGGTTGGGTTTAAGTCACACATGAAACTGTGATTAGAACAATGTCGCGAAACCCAAGGGTTTACAGTAAAACGACTGAAGGGCACAAGTCCCTCACCTGACGTCGTTGAAACTTTAGGTTGAGGTAGTTCAACTGCTTCAGCACATCAGCAAGGAAATAGAGAAGGAATTGGAACTTGAAGCTTGTGACGATGTTGTACGTTTTCTTGTCATACTCGTACAGCAGCAAGACCACTGCAGGGAAGACGTCCGCGAGCCGTGCTATGGCGTCACCACGAGACAGCCACCTTACGTCCTTGATACCCTGCATCTCCAGGTTAGTCTCTGTCACCACCTCTTGCAGCTGCATGAAACGAGAGTGCTTTGGACTAGATCGGCCGAGGAGATCAGAGACTTTGCGGACAACCTTATCGATAATCCCGACCTCCAGGATAGAAGTGGCAGCATCCTTCGCGGCAAGAGCCTCCCTGCAGTGAACAAAACATAGCAGTTAGCACATCTTGCTAAATAAAAACAGGGAATGTCAAAAATTAAACCGAGAGGCCTACCTGTGCGCAATACAGTGACAGGACACCAAGTGCGGTACACGCGTACGCAGCCGCGCCACCACTCCAGATTTACCGCCGGTCATCATGCTCGCTCCATCTGTGGATATGCCGGATATCTTCGCGAGCTCCACCCCGTTGCTTCCCAGGTGAGTCAACAAGACGAGGAACAGTGAAGACGCGTCGCACTTGTCAACAGAGAGATTGGCGTAGAACTCGGTCACGACGCTCCATTGCCGTAAGAAGGTGGTGTATACGATCATATGTTTCCCACGCCGCCTGTCTGTGCTCTCGTCGAGTTGAATACCAAGGTAGGGACTCTCTCGGATGTGACGCAGTTGTGAGGCCTTCAAGAAAGACACCATCGTCTCCATGAGTTGCTTGAAGCCGTACCTGCACACTCAAAAGACAATACGAGTAAATTAGTTCATCCATGTAAGTTGAAGTATAGCTGACATGTTTACAATCCACTTACTTGCTGATGTACGCCCCGTGGTCCTTCAATGGGAGATCCGGAGTCCCCATCTCTGCCATGAATTGCACCAGTGACATAAATAGGGCAATGGGAGCGTCAGTTTTACAGATGAAATGAGCGATTAACAGCAACTTCATGAGGCGACTAGCCTCAGCGTCGACATTTGCAAACCCTGCAATCGTCGGCTGCCTCGTTTTGTTCCCTTCCCGTAGCTCCTTCCTCTCCACCGCCGCTTCGTGTTTGATGCTGTGATGATGTTTCCACATCGTCTGCTTCTGTATGTCAATCCCGCCTTCACCGTTCCTCCCATGCTGGTAGTCAGGTTCGCCGTAAGCGATGCACACCTTACACTTCATGCACGGTCGTCCCTCGCTTGTCTCCGAAATGACGAGCCACGGAAAATGTCGTGACCACTGCTCCTTGGCCTTCAATTGAAGTTCTTCAACAGTCCGGAAGAATGGCCCATCATCCAAGGGAGGAGTTGCACGGGTGGTGTCGTTGTCAACCACGTCAGGTGTTGGAGCAGTGGTGGTCGATTGCATTCTGAATGGGAGTCTCGGTTGCTTGTACTTCTTAGAACCTGGGAAACGAGTAGGAAGGAATGGCAGGCGAGGAGGTTTAGACGCAGCGGTTGTGCGTGGTGACAAAATAACCGTGGGCGAGCGAACGGGAGAGCTAGCGGCAACAAAAGACGGGCGCGGGGAGGGTGCAGGGGAGGACGGCTCCCAGACATCCTCATCGTCGATGGGTGTAAAAGGGTATGGTGGCGCATCGGCTGTGAGGGGCACTTTGACGCCGGCAGGTTCGGCGCTCCCTGGTGCTACCGTCGGCTTGGGTCGGATGCTAAGCCCCGTCAAGAAATAGAGGCCGGTTCGCTTCTCTGTAGCGACGACATCAACTGGTGAGGCACTACCGGGGGATATGGGAGGTGCTTCAGAGCGATAACATGAAGTCCCCATGGCGACGCGCACCCTCTGATGTCGACTATGGCTGCATGAAGATGCCATCCACGTCGCTCATATGCGCTGGCAGCATCCCGCCGCCCAGCCGTTTGGCATCTTCTTGTCAGAATGTATTTGCCGTCTAGCCTGCAGTGGGGTGCTCTGTAGTGAGTACAACCCAATTTAGGGTTTGCTATTTGTATCCCAACTTTCTATAGTGAAATCACTCATTCTCCTTTTCGACCTTTCTCACCCAAAACTCTCTCGACACTCTAACCTAGCTATGGCTCCTAAGCCTAAGTTGCTACTATTCTAACACTTCTATGCCAGCGGTGAATGTCGGGCAACTTCTGAGTCAGAAGTTGCCAGGGACAGATGGCAGTGGCAGCAAATATGTGCTGGCAGGGTGTATCATAAATGCGATGTGAAGGTAATGGGCTAGTGGTCGCGTGGGTCTGTGGGCTAGTGGGCCAGGTTGTCAGTATCAGACGAAAAAAAAACGCGATGTCTGCCAATACAGACGAAACACTTAGATACTAATCTCTGTAAAAATAGAGGGCTTGAATCAATTGGCAACCAAGTGTGTTCGTGTTTCTGCTCACACTTCGTTGACGAATTGTAACCGCTTGTGTGTGGTTCAGAGAAAGTAGAATCTTCTTCCGAGCCTGGCATGGTTGACTCGGCATGTTGCTAAACAGTGCGTGTTCTTCCAAGGGCAGTTTCCCATATATTTTGCTGGTAGAGAGGTTTCCGTTCGCGTGGGTCGGAACACCGCAGGTTATAACGCTGTGCAAACACCCTCACCTTTGAAATCTGTTTTCGTAATCCCATCTAGCTTCTGGAGGGATTCCACCCACATTTCTGGAATCTCGACTCAACACTGCGACTGACTATGTTTCTGGGCGGGCAGGGATATAGCTAAACAGCCGTTCAAATAGGGTAGCACGAAAGGGGGTTCACCAAACTAAGCCGTCCAACCAGTAACTGTGACAAGGGCCAACCAAGAAGCCCAGCAGCTAACCAGCTCTCTTGCCGCGAACCTGTGATCCACTCAGCAACCCCTAGGTTAGTGCTGTAACGACGTGCATATTTAGGTTCTAATGTCTATGAAACTTAGCACTGCGACGCGTCCTAGTTACGTGAACAGTTCACTCGGTTCTCTCTCCCCGAGACAAGATTCGTTCAGGCATTTGAGGCATTCGTGCACAGTTTAATCCACGGCTCTGCAATGTCTTCCGAGGATTGTGCAACACGGCCGGAAAGTAATCCAAGCACCAAGGATGGCAAGTCGAGGCTGCGATTCGACGAGTCCGTCACCGTGATTTACGGAACCGGGGAAACCGAAATTGAGACGCTTCACGTTCCAGAAGACTCCTCCTCCGCCTCTGGTGCGGAGCCTCGCGAGGCTGCGAGTGGTCAAACGGATGGAGCCTTGCGGGACGAAGCAGACGGCTCTGAAATGCAACGGTCTTCTGAGAGCCATGGTTCTGGTCAACAAGCCGCAGCAGCGTTCGGGATGCGTCACGGGGAGGCGGAAGGCGATGAGCTGGCGGAGGATTTTGATTATTTAGATCTGGAGGATTTGGAACAGACGTGGCCGGAGCGGAGGGAGAGCATTCTCGGCACGCGATGCGGGTCGCCCAAGGGCGCCACGGAGATCGGAATAATGCGGTCAGATGCGATTAGGTTCGGGGGGGCTCGCGAGTCGCTGAAATCATGGACCCCGCAACCACGCGCGTGACGCCTACCGCGTGCTTCGCCTTCCCCGCGCTTGACGCCACCCGCGCACTTACATCTGGTTTAGTTCAGCCACGCTCTTCCGTTTCAGACTTCACAAGTCTCTCTCAGAGGCGCCCCTCCTTTCTGCGTCTTTTTGTTTTTCTTTTTTCCCCGTGTATTCCTGCTTCGCTGCTCTCGGACGTCGCTAAGTCACGCGTCGGCCCGTCGTTTTTGGCGAACTGGCTTCCTCGGGATAGGCAAGATCATGCTGTCAGATAACGATGGAGGGTAGGGACGTGTTGTGGTGGCGATTGTGGCAGCGAGAGGGGTGCTGGTGGCCGCTTCTTCGTTGTGCTCAGTCGCTGAATGCTGGGTTTGCTCGCGAGTCGCGGCGTCTCCAATGGCTCCCCTTCAATGAGCAGCAGCGCATGGCGAGGTGACGTGGCAGGCGGCCCCGCTTAGCCACTGCGCCTCGAGCACCAATGGCTGCTGCTATGCTGGTTGCATGCCTCTGCCGTTGCTGGTGCTGGTGCTGGGGGGCTGGGGCTGGGGGCTGGGGCTCGGGCTGGGGGCCTGGGGCTGCTCACATGGCATTGCTCTGCTCTCCGCTGTAGATTGTTAGGGGTCGGGGACATTGAGGTCCAGAATTTTCGTCATGACTTGTGAGGGTTTAAAATTCTTAGTTCAGGTTGCGGTTCACTTGATGCATGTACGGTACTGCTGCTGCTGCTGCTGCTGCAACATGCATGTGCTTACTGCTAGCATCGATTCCTCTTGCACTGACAAAGCGCTTGCTTGGTACCATAGTACTGTAGTAGTAACATCCATAGTCTCTCAGACTGCATGCTGGAAGAGAAGGGTAGGCAAATGACCATAAATAAGTAAATTATGTTTACATGATGCTGAAATACACTCTGTATCCTAATGTCACGTTGAAAGGAGAAAGGTGGCTTGAGGTGGCAGTGGTGGAGAGAACACTGAATCTCTGAGAGCAGACATTGCCAGCGCACATGTAAACGTGAACATTGAAGAGCAAATCATCATCTCCAATAATTTCCCTCATCACCTTCATCTCCCCTCCCCCTCATCACCATTTTCCCCCCCTCATCACCATCATCCCCCCCTCATCACCATCATCCCCCCCCTTATCACCATCATCCCCCCCTCATCACCATCATCCCCCCCTCATCACCATCATCCCCCCCTCATCACCATCATCCCCCCCTCATCACCATCATCCCCCCCTCATCACCATCATCCCCCCCTCATCACCATCATCCCCCCCTCATCACCATCATCCCCCCCTCATCACCCTCATCCCCCCCTCATCACCCTCATCCCCCCCTCATCACCTTATCTCCCCCACGGGAATTTCACGCCCCCTCGTTGCCCCTCTGCCTCCCCCCCTGCCTGCTGCCCTGCCACCGGCCGTGCCTCAGCAGCAGCACCTGCTGCCGTCACGTGGCGGGTCACCAGGGCTGGCAGGGGCGCCTTGAGCGGGTAAGGTACCGGCAGGGGCGGTGGCATGTGCATGCTCCAACTCCCCCACTGCACCTCGCTTGTCTCCTCATGCTCTTCCTCATGTGCTGCCTCTGTTTCCTCTGCCTGCCCGCCCTCCCTGCCTTGCTCATGGGCTGCTGCACCTTCCCGTTGCCTCATTATCCCCTCTGCTGCCTCTGCTGCCTCTGCTGCCGTCCCCTCTGCTGTTTGGAAGCCAGCATCAGTATCTCTCTGCTGCTGCTGGTTGTCTGCTATGCAGATTTCTCTGCTGCTGCTGCTACTACTGCTGCTCTTGCTGCTGCTGCTGCTGCTGCTGCTGCTGCTGCTGCTGCTGCTGCTGCTGCTGCTGCTGCTGCTGCTGCTGCTGCTGCTGCTGCTGCCGCCACTGTTACTGCTGCTGCTGTCGCTACCACTGCTGCTGCTGCTACCACTGGTGCTGCTGTCAGCATGTGCGGGTGGCAGGCCCTTGAAGAGCACCATGGTGGTCTGCAGGCGGTCGAACCGGAACCCCGACTGCCACACAAACAAGCTGCAGGAAGAATAAGGGAATATTAAGGAATATATATGTTTCGGTGATTGGTACACTCGAGAAGGTACACCCATGCAGGGGAAAAAGTTGAGCAACAAGGGGTGAATATGGTGCAAGGGGTGGCGGAGGAAGAAAGGATGCCCCAGCAGAAGCAGAGGCAGGCGGGGAGGCAAGCACGCGTGGAGAAGCAAGCGATGGAGCGAGAGCAGGAGCTGAAGAGAGGATAACAAGAGCTGGGAGGAGGGGCATGGGTTGTAATGTAAGTGACGTGGCAGACCGATGGGGCGGTGCTGAATGTGACACAGGAGGGGACAGGCGGGATGGGGCGAGGCACGCAGGAGGTGGGGAGGCACGCAGGAGGTGGGGAGGCACGCAGGAAAAGGCGAGGCAGGCGGGAGACGGTTGGAAAGGGGAGGAGTGGAGGGTGCCCAGTGTTGTGCATGCTCTGTGGAATCGCTCAGCATGCTCTGTGGAATCGCTCAGCATGCTCTGTGGGATCCCTGTGGGTGCCACAAAACGCATGATCCACGGGTTCCTCTCATGCATGCAGATACAGCAGCAATAATCACGGTAAGAGGCAGCAGTAGCACTTGTAGCAGCAGCACTCATGGTACAAGGTAGCGGTGGCAGGGGTAGCAGGTGTAGCAGCAGTGGCAGGGGTAGCAGGTGTAGCAACAGTGGCAGGGGTAGCAGGTGTAGCAGCAGTGGCAGGGGTAGCACGTGTAGCAGCAGTGGCAGGGGTAGCAGGTGTAGCAGCAGTGGCAGGGGTAGCAGGTGTAGCAGTAGTGGCAGGGGTAGCAGGTGTAGCAGCAGTGGCAGGTGTAGCAGGTGTAGCAGCAGTGGCAGGGGTAGCAGGTGTAGCAGCAGTGGCAGGGGTAGCAGGTGTAGCAGCAGTGGCAGGGGTAGCAGGTGTAGCAGCAGTGGCAGGGGTAGCAGGTGTAGCAGCAGTGGCAGGGGTAGCAGGTGTGGCAGGTGTGGCAGGTGTGGCAGGTGTGGCAGGTGTGGCAGGTGTGGCAGGTGTAGCAGGTGTGTGGCAGGTGTAGCAGGTGTGGCAGGTGTAGCAGGTGTGGCAGGTGTAGTAGGTGTGGCAGGTGTAGCAGGTGTGGCAGGTGTAGCAGGTGTGGCAGGTGTAGCAGGTGTAGCAGGTGTGGCAGGTGTAGCAGGTGTGGCAGGTGTAGCAGGTGTGGCAGGTGTAGCAGGTGTGGCAGGTGTAGCAGGTGTGGCAGGTGTAGCAGGTGTGGCAGGTGTAGCAGGTGTGGCAGGTGTAACAGTTATAGCAGCAGTGGCAGGTGTAGCAGGAGTGGCAGGTGTAGCAGGTGTGGCAGGTGTAGCAGGTGTGGCAGGTGTAGCAGGCGCGGCAGGTGTAGCAGGTGCGGCAGGTGTAACAGTTATAGCAGCAGTGGCAGGTGTAGCAGGTGTGGCAGGTGTAACAGTTATAGCAGCAGTGGCAGGTGTAGCAGGTGTGGCAGGTGTAGCAGGTGTGGCAGGCGTAGCAGGTGTGGCAGGTGTAGCAGGTGTGGCAGGTGTAGCAGGTGTGGCAGGTGTAGCAGGTGTGGCAGGTGTAGCAGGTGTGGCAGGTGTAACAGTTATAGCAGCAGTGGCAGGTGTAGCAGGAGTGGCAGGTGTAGCAGGTGTGGCAGGTGTAGCAGGTGTGGCAGGTGTAGCAGGTGTGGCAGGTGTAGCAGGTGTGGCAGGTGTAGCAGGTGTGGCAGGTGTAACAGTTATAGCAGCAGTGGCAGGTGTAGCAGGTGTGGCAGGTGTAACAGTTATAGCAGCAGTGGCAGGTGTAGCAGGTGTGGCAGGTGTAGCAGGTGTGGCAGGTGTAGCAGGTGTGGCAGGTGTAGCAGGTGTGGCAGGTGTAGCAGGTGTGGCAGGTGTAGCAGGTGTGGCAGGTGTAGCAGGTGTGGCAGGTGTAACAGTTATAGCAGCAGTGGCAGGTGTAGCAGGTGTAGCAGGTGTAGCAGGTGTGGCAGGTGTAGCAGGTGTGGCAGGTGTAACAGTTATAGCAGCAGTGGCAGGTGTAGCAGGTGTGGCAGGTGTAACAGTTATAGCAGCAGTGGCAGGTGTAGCAGGTGTGGCAGGTGTAGCAGGTGTGGCAGGTGTAGCAGGTGTGGCAGGTGTGGCAGGTGTGGCAGGTGTAACAGTTATAGCAGCAGTGGCAGGTGTAGCAGGTGTGGCAGGTGTAGCAGGTGTGGCAGGTGTGGCAGGTGTAGCAGGTGTGGCAGGTGTAGCAGGTGTAGCAGGTGTGGCAGGTGTAGCAGGTGTGGCAGGTGTAGTAGGTGTGGCAGGTGTAGCAGGTGTGGCAGGTGTAGCAGGTGTAGCAGGTGTGGCAGGTGTAGCAGGTGTAGCAGGTGTAGCAGGTGTGGCAGGTGTAGTAGGTGTGGCAGGTGTGGCAGGTGTGGCAGGTGTGGCAGGTGTAACAGTTATAGCAGCAGTGGCAGGTGTAGCAGGTGTAACAGTTATAGCAGCAGTGGCAGGTGTAGCAGGTGTGGCAGGTGTGGCAGGTGTGGCAGGTGTAACAGTTATAGCAGCAGTGGCAGGTGTAGCAGGTGTGGCAGGTGTAGCAGGTGTGGCAGGTGTGGCAGGTGTAGCAGGTGTGGCAGGTGTAGCAGGTGTAGCAGGTGTAACAGTTATAGCAGCAGTGGCAGGTGTAGCAGGTGTGGCAGGTGTGGCAGGTGTGGCAGGTGTAACAGTTATAGCAGCAGTGGCAGGTGTAGCAGGTGTAACAGTTATAGCAGCAGTGGCAGGTGTAGCAGGTGTGGCAGGTGTGGCAGGTGTAACAGTTATAGCAGCAGTGGCAGGTGTAGCAGGTGTAACAGTTATAGCAGCAGTGGCAGGTGTAGCAGGTGTGGCAGGTGTGGCAGGTGTAACAGTTATAGCAGCAGTGGCAGGTGTAGCAGGTGTAACAGTTATAGCAGCAGTGGCAGGTGTAGCAGGTGTGGCAGGTGTGGCAGGTGTGGCAGGTGTAACAGTTATAGCAGCAGTGGCAGGTGTAGCAGGTGTGGCAGGTGTAGCAGGTGTGGCAGGTGTGGCAGGTGTAGCAGGTGTGGCAGGTGTGGCAGGTGTAGCAGCAGTGGCAGGTGTAGCAGGTGTAACGGCAACTCACCGCTGGTTCGGCCACACGACAGCAGAGATGTCCCCTATGCCCCTCGACAGCAGCTCCCTGGGAGTGAGCATGGTGGCGAGGGAGGAAGAGAGGAGACAAGCAGCAGAAGAGAATAGAAAGAGGGGAATTGGAAAGGAGGACCATTGCAGCAGAGGAGATTTTAAACAGAGAAGAATCAGAGAAGAGAAACAGAGGAAAAAAGAAAAGGAGAGTCGAAACAGAGAGGAATAGAGACAGAGGAGATGAGAAATAGAGGCTTTTTGTGCACACCCGCCTGAGCACGTCAGCCTGAGCACGTCAGCCTGAGCACGTCAGCCTGAGCACGTCAGCCTGAGCACATCAGCCTGGAGATTCACCTGAGGATTCTCTGCAGCACCCTGGTGCCGAGGCCACGGCCCCTGTATATTGGTGCCACCTGGCATGGTGGAGAGCGGTGGAGAGTGGTGCGGTGGAGTGTCAGGGGACGGTAAGGGACGTGAAGCAGAGGAAGAAAAGGGGGAAGCAAATCTGAATGGTATGATGTGCTGTGCTGTGCTGTGCGGTGCTGTGCTGTGCTGAACATGTGATAACATGATACGGCATCCCATGGTACCCCAGCACCCCATGGCATCACACGGCTTTTGAGGCACCTCAAAAGCCGTGCTGAACATGGATGCCATGGGATGCCATGGGATGCCATGGCATCAGATGGAATGGAGTTCATGAGGGGGAGCACACATTCGCTTCGCCTATGCTGAGTGTACAACATTCGAAATGAAACACGCCCAGAAGCATTAGATGAAACGCACTCAGGAGATGAAACGCACCCAGGAAAAGAAACGCACCCACCCAGCACATGAAACGCACCCAAAAGATGAAACGCACCCAGGAGATGAAACGCACCGCGATGTCATGCACGGCAGCAGTGAGCGTGCCATCCGAGTACGCCCGCCCAAACGCCACGAGCCTCTTGCCCTCCACACTGCGCCTCGCCTCCTCCACCTGCTTCGCCCTCCTCCTCCTCGCCCACTTGCTCAGCCCCCTCCTGTTGCTCCCCCTCGCCCCATTGCTCCCCCCCTTGCTTGGCGTATCCCAATCACTTGTGGTGGTGGTGGTGGTGCTGCTGCTGCTCTCACTATCACTCCCACCATCACTACCACTGCCGTCTTCCGCACTGCCCTTCCTCTCCTTCCTCACCCCCTCCTCCGCTTTCCCCACCTCCTCTCCCTCCTCCTCCCCCACCTGCTCGCCCTCCTCTGAGTAGTAATCCTCTGAGAGGTCTTCCTTCTTCACGTACAGACCCACTGTCACTGTGCTGCACCCGTGGACAGCAGGGGTATGACGTGGGCAGCAGGGGTATGACGTGGGCAGCAGGGGTATGACGTGGACAGCAGGGGTATGACGTGGACAGCAGGGGGATGACGTGGACAGCAGGGGTATGACGTGGGCAGCAGGGTTATGACGTGGACAGCAGGGGTATGACGTGGACAGCAGGGGTATGACGTGGGCAGCAGGGTTATGACGTGGACAGCAGGGGTATGACGTGGACAGCAGGATTATGACATGGACAGCAGGGTTATGACGTGGACAACAGGAGTATGACGTGCACAACAGGGGTATGACGTGGACAACAGGGGTATGACGTGGACAACAGGAGTATGACGTGCACAACAGGGGTATGACGTGGACAGCAAGGTCCACAGGGTGACATGACATGACATGATATGAGGAGAAAGAAGCACATTCTCTCATCTTGCTTTTCCATCGAATCGAGTCGGCACCCATCATCTCTACCCACAGGCACTCCAGCCACGCTCACTCTCCACTCTAGCCCCATCCTCACCCCTTCTCCCTCCTCACCCCTTCTCCCTCACCTCTTATCCAGCGCTCTCCTCATCTTGGCAGCATCAGCCCGCCTGACTCTCCTCTGGTCCACCGGCACGCGAGCCACGTTCACGTTCCGGGGCACCGGGCGGCCGTCGGGCGGCGACTCGGGCGGCAGCAGGGCGGGGAAGAGTTGTCCGTTCTGCCCAGATGCTGCCAGCAGCGCCGCCACCTCGCGCTCGTCCATGGCTGCTGCCTCCGTGACTATAGTGAGGGGCGGGATGCGCAGGGCTGAGAACCACAGGCAGTGGGGGGGGAAAAGGGGGGGGGGGGAAGTAGAATAGGCAGTTGGGGGGCGGAGGACATGGAAGAGTGGTTAGGACTAGAATGTAACTTGTGAGGTGATGTAATACGGGATTATATACGGTTAAGTAAGGTGATAGTGGATAGAAGGTACATATTTACGGTTAGGATGGTAGGGCGCAGGGTGAGGGGGAGAGGGGGGGGAGGCAGGGCGCTCGTCCATGGCTGCCGCCTCCGTGACTATAGTGAGGGGCAGGATGCGATTGGGGGAGTAGGGAGGAAATGGAGGAGTAGAGTGGAAGTTGGGGGAAGTGGAACTGGGGGGAGGGAGGGGGGAAAGAAGACGGGGGAAGACTGTGTGGGGGTTAATAGGGGAAGTTTTCATAGCTGTTGGGGCCGGGGGACGACCTCTAATCTCGACGGTCAGTCACGCTTCCCCTCCACCCCCCCCTCTCCTCTCCTCTTGTTGGAATCCCACCCCTGTGGGCTGCGCGTGTCTTCTCTCTGAAGCTTCTCAGAAACGTCGCTCACCCGTTTGGGACGAGAACAGCTGCCACCTGCGTGAACCCCTTCACCACCAGCCTCGCCTTCTCACGCTCCACTATCCCATCAGGTCGGAACTTGGTGTTCAGAATCCAGCGGTTCTTCATCACATTCACCCCTGGCGGACGCGGAACCAACTCCCACGTCCCCTGCTCAATCAAGCTCCGCATCTCCTCATCCATCGCCTCCTTCACCTTGTCTCCCTTCCAGCAGCCCAAGGCCTCCTTCACTGTCATTTTCGCTATGTCCCACTGCCTCTCAGGATCAGCTGCCACGTCCGGGTCCAGGTTAGTCCACTCCTCGTCCTCCTCCTCGTCATCCAAGCCCGCTGGCTCAACCACTACAGCCCAAGCGTATCGAACAGGCGGGACACCACGAGTGATGCGAGTGGAGCGACGCAGTGGTGCAGTGGTCGTCCCAGAAACCAACACACGACCACCATCTCTAATTCCCCACATCTCCTGCTCCCTCGTCTGCGGCTCCCCTGTCTGCTGCTCCCCTGGCTGCTGGTCCACCATCTGCTGGTCCCCAATCTGCTCCTCCCCTATCTGCAGCTCCCCACTCTGCTGCACCTCTATCTGCTGCTCCCCTATCTCCATCCCCCCACTCTGCTGCACTCCATCCATACTACTCTCATCCTGCAGCTGCTCAGTCACAAGGCGCTGCCCGTCGGTGATCACCATGGACGGCGGCACCACTATCCCCCCCTCACCAACGGGCGGTGCCGTGGAAGACGAAGAGGAGGGTGGAGCAGGTGTAGGAGGGATGGAGGGTGGAAGGGGAGAGGGGAGAATAGGAGGAGGAGGGGAAGCCAAGGGGGGTGAGGATGAAGAAGGTGGGGCAGGGGGAACCACACGAGGGTAAACTGAAGGCGGAGGTGGGGTGGGGACCGAGGTAGGGACATAGGGCATAGCAGGAGGTGCGACCACGTCCTCCTCCTCCACCTCCTCTAGAGCGATCGGGAAGAAAGAGGGAAGGGGCTCATAGGGCATCGGACGCCCCCCATGCTCCTGCTGATGCCAAGCCTTCCATCCTGCCAAAGACATGGTCTCATAGAACACAGCTTCCACAGTGGTGATGAGGCGGTTGGACTCCAAGTCCAGCACGGTCCAGCCCTTGCTCGCTGCTGACACCCCCAAGTGCAACCCCCAGCGAGCCTTGGGCGCCAGCTTCCCCCCACGTTGCGACTGCGGCACCATGTACTGCAGCATGCAGCCCCAGACACGCACCATACTGACATCGGGTTTGCGTCGAAAGGCGAGCTCGTACGGCGTCACACCAGAGGGCAGCGAGGCATGCTCCACGCGGTTGCGCACCCAGACGGCCTGCGCCAACGCCAGGTGCCACCAGTGATGCTGCACACCCATATGCAGCAACATCATCCGCACCGCCTCCACAATGCTGCGCATCTCCCTCTCGGCCATTCCGTTCTGCTCCGGCGTATACGGGCACGTGAGGTCGTGGATGATCCCCTTCTCGTCGAGGAAGAGCGTGAAGTCGTGGCCCAGGAACTCACCACCCCGATGAGTGCGCAGCGCCTTCACCGTGGTCTTGCACTGCCTCTCTGCCATCGGGAGCCACTTCTGGAACGCTGCCAATGCATCGCTCTTCTTGGCCAAAGGGTAGGCCCAGACGAACCGCGTCTTGCGATCTTTCAGCACCAAGAAGTAGCGGCTGCCATCCTTAGCTGCTTCACGGAAAAGGCCACACAGGTCAGCATGCACCACCCCGAGCAACTCATCCTCCTCCTCTCCCACAGAAGGAAAGGTATGACGAGTGATCTTTCCCCCAACACAGGAGACACAAGGTATGCCTGACTTGCCCCCCTTCTCCAAATCCAAGCCCTTCACTGACCCGTGAGCCGCTGTGCGCTCGATGGCATCAATACCAACGTGTGCCATACGCGCATGCCACAGGTCCCCCTTAGACCGCACGCCCGTCGCCAAGGTACGAAGTGCCACCGTTTCGCCTTCCTGCTGCTGCGTCGAACACGGCTGGAAGTTCGTGCAGAGAACACGCCCCTTGAACTCCGCACGACCAAGGAGCGATCCATCTGGTGCCCGCAGCAAAGTCACATCCCCGGCATCCAGCAGCTGCACACCACTATCACGCAGCTGCCCAGCAGAGAGAAGACTCGCCTGCACTCCTGGTACGTACAGCACGTCCGGCACCAAGACACGCCTGCCCCCCTCTCCAAGAAGAGCGACTGTGCCCCGCCCCTGCACCTCCTGAAGAGCGCCGTTGAAGCCGGTAACCTGTTTAATACTGCCGCCGCTGCTCATCTCCACAAAGGCAGAACGATCTCCCATGAGATGGTGGGAGCATCCTCTATCAAGCAGCACGACGCTCGGGTTCGCCTTCACAGCAGCTGCAACAGCCTGTAAGCCCTCCCCGGCCTCAGGCTCCAGCACAACGAGAGGAGTCTGCTCCACAACGGGCTTCACCATCGCACACGATGACTGCCCGCTCCCCTTAGAGCCATTACCCCCCTTGCTGCTGCTACCTCCAGAACCCTCTCCCCCAGTGTCTGCCTCATTATCCGCCCGCTTCTGACAGTACTTAGCAACATGCCCTATTTGTCCACACACATAGCACTTCCCCTTGAAGCCCCCTTTCCCCCCCTTCGGCTGGCCATCCTTACCCCCTTTCCACTTCTCCCCTCCCCCACCAACCCCACCCCCATTCTTAGGCTGCTGCTGCTGTGCCGTAGTGGGAGGGGAAGGGAATGAAGTCTGCTGGAATTGGGGCTTACCCTTCTTGGTAAAGACCTGGTTAGCCTGGGGAAGGAATTGGTCCTTTCGTCCCTCCGCCGCCAGCGTACACTCCTCCTCGATGATGTAGCTAGCGAGGGTGTCCTCGTCCAACTCCTTGCGCACCTGCGGCAACTTCAGCATCCTGCGTAAGAGGTTGTACTGCTGCGGCAACCCCTTCACAACGTGAGTAATGTACGACGCCTGCGAGTAATCTATGCCGGCCATCCTCAGGTTCACTAGGATCTGCTGCGCACGATTGCAATAGGACGTAGCGGACTCGTGCTCTCCCATCTCGAGGTTAGTGAGCGCCTGCTCTAACTGACCGATGTACAGATCGTCCTTCGCCATGTACGTGCGCATAATAAACTGCCATGCCTGATAGCCGGCATCTACCTTCATGCGACACGCCTTAAGGGCGATCTGTACGGTTGGGGAGCAGCATCGGGAAATGGTGGTGAATGTCAGTAACTGCATCGCGCGGAACTGGGAGAGATGTGCAAGTGCACGCGCTGGTGGAATGGGAGTGGTGCCATCTATGAATCGCTTTAGCTGAGCGATCTCAAGCTGCGGCTCGATCGATTCTGTCCACGTCGACAGGTCGTGGCGTCCTTCTAACGGCCTAGGGACAACGATCTTGTCAGGAGTGAATCTGAAGTAGCCATAGTTGGGGGCTATTCCCTCGTCCCTCGACATCGATCCAATCGGGGTAACGCCCGGCATAGCCTCACTATCGTACTCTTCCGCATTTCCTCCTCCAGCAACGCTCTGCCGTCCTACATTCGCATGCTCTCGTGACGCTGCTGCACGATGAACACGCTCCTGTACACCGCCGACGCTAGCCGTACTAAACCGAGTTGGTCCTCGCAGGACCCCACGCGACATCAACCCATCAAACTCCTCGTCATCGCTATTTCCGCCATCGGCAGCCACATCCCACGCACTAGTACCTCCCGCAACTTGCTCAACATTCTCTACACGTGGCGAAGGGTGCTCACGACGCCGACGCGAGCGCAATCCCTCCAACATTAGCTCGTATTCGATATCACTAATCTCACCACGAGAATGACGAGCCACGAGATCCTCCTCTAGGGCGCGCAAATTACCGGCCTCCACGTTCGCCTCCTCTGTACTCATCCTCTACGACGTCTCTATAAGGTACCACAAATTAAAATAAAGTGCCCCTTCCTTAAATCCCTCGTCTCGGGGTCACCTCACAAGGGTCCTCAGACGAGTGGTAATAAATTACCAAACGCCCTATCCTTGGGTCCGAGAACGTAACTGGAGGGAAATCAGAGGTTCAACTTAGATTAATAAGCGCCCTTCACTAACGCCGCACGCCAAGGCGAGTATACGAACGCGAATATCAACGACGACGGAAACCTATGCGTGTTCGTTCCACGCTCACCGCACCATGAAGGAATATATTAGAGAGCGTAGCGATAGCGAGAGAGTCTCTGCTATGGGAGTGATGTTGCGCCAGCAACTTGGTAGAGTTTTGGTAGCGTTTGCCTCTAAGGACTTTGTGAGAATTGAAATAGCATTTGGGCCAAGTAGAATTGCAATATCAATTATCAAACACACAAGCAAACACAAACATATATAGGCAAGCAAGAGTTGCACAATTGTTGCGTGGCGCTGCGAGTAACCCAACCCACACGAAAGTGCTGTGCAGGTGGGTGAACGCGCCCCGCACATTTCCAACCCAACTCGGCACCGGAATGTCTCACCGTGCACGCTACTCCTGCCAACACAGCAAGTGAGCAGCGTGCCTCACAAGCAAGGCACCTACGACCCCCAAGACTCGTCATTCCTAGCACCGATTCCGCCGAGTTCGCTGCAGTAGCTCACAGTCACCCGTAGTCACTAATGACCGCCACCGAACTCGTGCGTCGGTGCCGAGTAGACTCAGTCGTTAGGCGCCGACCTGCCAAGTCAAAGGTCATCGAGGGCCCTTGCTGTCGTAGGGCCCTCTAACGGGCGGTGTGCGGGGAGGTTATTGCGGAAGCCATACCCGATACAGGTGCTCGAGCGTGCCCTCGTGACTAAGCGACGGCACAGGTGCGCAAGGGATGTAGAAATAGGACTGCTCTACTAGAAATGGGGGCTTGCTGGTGGCGCAGGCAGCATTGCAATGTCGCTGTAGCATTCCCCAACTCTGCCTCGACTGACAGTGAGATGAAAACTTTAATGTATTACAGGCATATGAGGCATCTGTGGACCACCAAACGCTTGGAGTGGTTCGTCGAACGGTCCAAGAATCACGGACCGACGACAGTCATTATCCGGGGGCTTTTCCCTACTAACCACAAGCGCCTGAGAGAATGGCAAAATCAGTTTCTTCTCATGGGCGTGTTTGTGACAGCGAGGTTGGACGGGAGTGAGATGACAGAAGTTTCTGCTTCGTTAGTGGAGGTGTGATTCGTTAAAGGACGAAACCGGAGTATGTACAAGGCGAAGCAGGTGTCAATTGACGCTGCAGTATATCAGCTGGGGACGCTAAGAAGTGTAAATCTGTATATTGTCAATCTAAACTGCGTACAGCATCAGAAGTGAAGAAAACGAAACCGTCAACGCCTTCCAATCTCAAATAAAAATGTGATGAACATCAAATGTGTCTTTTGCCTCGAGGATTTGAAGTTGGGCAACACGTGGCGGCGCGCTTCAAGCTGACGACAATCGAGCTTTCGTGGAGTTTGCGCTTTCTGATCCGCCATATATGTGACCAGACAAAGTCACCGGAAACAGAAATCTAAGCCGTCAAATCAATGCTGCCTCGACACGTACGTCAATCTTGTCCGTCGTTTTGCATCCAGATTCCGACAGAGTCGAACCTGATTATGCATCCATGTCATAATGTAATCTCATCCAACGCGGCACCTAACAGACACATGTGTTCGTGACATCTGTGTCCATTATAGGTGTTCTTCAAATCAGCAGCAGCTAGCTACACGTACTGGGCTGTCTCATGACGTTCCCATTCCGAATTCACTCAACATTTTCGATAGTAGCAACCAACAAGTAGCGAACAGTTGCGCATCGTTCGCGAGCTATTCGCGGATCGTCCGCGTGACTAGTATCTGGAGGCATCGAGCTCCTCATGCCAGCCCCTCCTCCATCACTCGCGCGCCCTCACCTTCTCCACCCACGCCGCGCCGTACACCATGTCGCGTTCGCTCCTCTCGCACGCTCTACCTCCCTGCCTGCCGCGATTCACGCCCATCACGCCGCTCAGTCAGCACCGTAACGGTCGCGCACTTCAACGACAGCCATCGCTCGATCCGTCCCCGCGTCGCTCTCGCCGCTCCCCCCGCGGCATCTCAGCGTCCCCCTTCCAGCCGTCGTTGCGCCCATCCGCTCATTCCAAGTCGAGCCAATCCAGCACTCACCAACACAGTCTCCGTACCCGCTGGTCCCTTCTCGCCATTCCTTCGCGAATTCACATCGGGCATCGCGAACATGACACTCACCGCGCCGTCGCAGCCGCTTCGCACGGCGGCGGAGCAAAGGGGTCGTCCAGCGGCGAGCGCGTGACGACGCCTGCTGCGACGACCGGCGATACCAATACGAGCAGCGGGGGATGCAATGAAACGGCTAGAGGCAGTGGCAGTAGCGAAAGTAGCACTAGTAACGCGGCGCCGCGGGGCCAGGATGCAGGTTCTTCGCATCCATCCCCGCTTCAAGCCTCCTCGCCACAAACAACAACAGTCGATACTTGCCCAGATCCCACAATTGGTTCCGCCAGTCCCTCCCCCCTTTCCGCCACCTCTCCGCCCATTTCCGCCTCGCTTCCTCCACCCAGCTTCCCCGCGTGGTACTTCTCCCCGCGCCACGTGGCATCGCACTACGCAGTCAACCTCGACACGGGCCTGTCCGAATCCGACGTGGCGCGGCGGCGCGCAGCGCACGGGTGGAACGAGCTAGACCGACCAGCAGGCACACCATTCTGGGACCTAGTCTTAGACCAGCTCAACGACACACTCGTTCGAATCCTCGTCGCCGCCGCCGTGGTGTCGCTCGCCCTGGCCGTGGCGGAGCAGGGCGGGGTAGGGGGCGCGGGAGGAGGAGCGGAAGGCGGAGGGGGAGGGGGAGGCGGGGGGCTGGCGGGGTACACGGAGCCGGTGGTGATCGTGGCGATCGTGGTGCTGAACGCGCTCATTGGCGTGTGGCAGCAGGTCCAGGCGGAGCAGTCGCTGCAGGTGAGATATGTGGCTGCAGGTGAGATATGTGGCTGCAGGTGAGATATGTGGCTGCAGGTGAGATATGTGGCTGCAGGTGAGATATGTCGCTGCAGGTGAGATATGTCGCTGCAGGTGAGATATGTCGCTGCAGGTGAGATATGTCGCTGCAGGTGAGGGCTTGGCAGTACGGGAGGGAGGGGTGGGTGAGGGAGTGGCTGCAGCTTGGTTGGCGAGGGCTAGACGATTGAAGGTGGGTGTGAGTGGGAATGACCTGTTGTTCGTGAGTGTACGACTTGGGGTGCCTTTGTGCGTTATGGATGAGCCTGAGCGACTCTGAGTATAGAAACCTGAATGCGTTTCCTCTCTCTTGCCGTCCCTTCCTCCTCCCCCCATCCGCCTCCTCCCTCCATCCATCCTCCCATGCACTCCCCCTCCGCCCCCCATGCGCCCCCAGGCGCTCAAGGAGCTGCAACCGCAGACGGCGCGAGTCAGGCGGGCCGCTGTTCGTGCCGTGAACATGGAGGGAGGCCAAGGCGGCCGGGAGGGCGACAGCGACGGACCAGCAGCGCCACCAGCAGCGCCACCAGCAGCAGCAACAGCAGCGCCAGCAGCAGCAGCAGCAGCAGCGCCATTCATAACGGTGCCAGAGCTGGTGCCGGGGGACGTGGTGGAGGTGCGGGCGGGCGACCGCGTGGCAGCAGACATGCGCATCGTTGCGGTGGTGAGCGGTTGTGTGCGGCTCAATGAGTCCACACTCACTGGGGAGAGCGAACCCCAGGTGAAGCAGACCGAGCGGGTGGAGCGGAGGCGAGGAGGAGGAGAAGAGAGTGTGGAGGATAGGTGGGACAGCAGCAGCAGCGACGATCTGGCAGTCCAGTCAAAGGCCAACGCGGCGCCTGCTGGTGGTGGGAGCAGTGAGGAGGAGGCAGCAGCGCAGCAGGCATATTGGGACAGCAGCAGCAGCGATGGCAGCGACAGCAGCAGCAGCGGCAGCAGTGACGGCCTGGAAATCCAGGCAAAGGCCAACATGGCGTTTGCAGGCACGACAGCAGCGACTGGGTCGTTCATCGGGGTGGTAGTGGGCACGGGCATGGCAACCGAGGTGGGGCGCATTCAGGCGCAGATCACAGCGGCAGCAGCGGAGGAGGCGGCGTACGACACACCGCTGTCGCGCCGCCTGGATGAGTTTTCGACTGCGCTGACTCAGGCCGTGGGCGCCATGTGTGTGGTGCTCTGGGCGGTGAATTTCGACCGGTTTGTGGCGTGGGACGCGGTGGGGAGGACTCTCGTGTTCAACGCTCAGCAGGCCACGTTCTATTTCAAGGTTAGCCGTGGTTGTAACAGCCGTGGACCCAACGGCCTAGATTCTTCCAAAACATGGCCTCACAACAGGTGGCAGTGGTTCTGCTTGTAGCCGTGAGTCTCGAGGCGAGGGCCTGCCAGCGGTCATGACCACGTGCCTGTCTGGCATGACCACGTGCCTGTCTGGCATGACCACGTGCCTGTCTGGCATGACCACGTGCCTGTCTGGCATGACCACGTGCCTGTCTTAGCATTGGGCATGCGGCGCATGGCAGATGCGCACGCTATAGTCGGTCGCTTGCGTTAGTGTGATACACCAAGCAAGTGGTTCTCTCATCCGCCTCTCCACCCTCCATCCCTCTCACCCAACATCAGCACCCTTGGCTGTCTCTTGCCACAGCCGCGCCACTGCCATGGTCGTCAATCAACCCTAACACCAAAGCGTGTGGACTGTTGAACCCTCAACTCTGAATCCCCTCCCTTGTCTAAAACCCGAAACCCCCACCCAACAGGAAGCAGTGGCGCTGGCGGTGGCAGCGATCCCCGAGGGGCTGCCAGCCGTGATCACCACGTGCCTGGCGCTGGGCACACGCCGCATGGCAGACGCGCACGCTATAGTCCGACGCTTGCCGTCCGTTGAGACGCTCGGGTGCACCACCGTGATCTGCTCCGATAAGACCGGCACGCTCACGACCAATCAGATGGCAGTTGCCAGCCTGGCGGTACCACGTGGCGCTGACGGGGACGTGCGGTGGTATGACGTGTCGGGGACCACGTATGACCCGGGGGATGGGGAGGTGGTGGGGTGGAGAAGGGGAGGGAGAGGGGAAGGAAAGGGAGGCGGAGGGGTAGGAGGAGGAGGAGGAGGAGGAGGAGGAGGAGGAGGAGGAGGAGGAGGAGGAGGAGGAGGGGTAGGAGGAGGAGGAGGAGGAGGAGGAGGAGGAGGAGGAGGAGGAGGAGGAGGAGGAGGAGGAGGAGGAGGAGGAGAATCTAGTGTGAGTGAAGGGAGTGCCAGAGGAGGGGGTGTGAGTGAAGGGGTTGTGATTGAGGGGGTTGGGAGTGAGAGGGGTGTGAGTGAGGGGGGTGGGAGTACGGAGGCGGGAGTGTGGAGTGTGGCGGCTATCAGTGCGCTGTGCAACGACAGCAGCATCACGGCCACCAAGGGGCGCTACACCTGCTCTGGCATGCCCACTGAGGCCGCCCTCAAGGTGAGAAGAGGTGCGCTCAAGGTGAGGGGGGATCGTTCGACGGTGTGGTGAAAGGGAAGTGAGGAGGTGGAGTGGGGTGGAGTGAAGTGGAGTGAGATGAGGTGGAGGTCAAATGGAGGTGATGGGGAAATTCAGGCAGTTCCGCTGCTCTGGCATGCCCACTGAAGCCGCGGTGAAGGTGAGGGGTGACAGGTGTAGTCAAGACGCAAGATGACTGTCAGTGAGAGGCGTGCAAGGTGGAGGCGAGGTGCGCTCAAGTGACAGGTCGTGTGACAGTGTGGTGAACAAGGGGAGTCAAAATGAGGGCACATTGAGGACAAGGGTTTTTTTTTAGAGAGGCGTCGCCGCATCTTTGAGTCGTCTCAGAGTGAGGTCAAAAGTGATGCTATGGAGAGGAGTCACTGTCACATCACAATGAAAGATGGGTTTGGGTGAATCACAGTGAGGAAAGGCGGTACGGTGTCTGGTAGCAGCAGCCGCAGAGTTTTGAGTCGACTCAAAGGCGGTACAGTGTCTGGTAGCAGCAGCCGCAGAGTTTTGAGTCGACTCAAAGGCGGTACGGTGTCTGGTAGCAGCAGCCGCAGAGTTTTGAGTCGACTCAAAGGCGGTACAGTGTCTGGTAGCAGCAGCCGCAGAGTTTTGAGTCGACTCAAAGGCGGTACGGTGTCTGGTAGCAGCAGCCGCAGAGTTTTGAGTCGACTCAAAGGCGGTACAGTGTCTGGTAGCAGCAGCCGCAGAGTTTTGAGTCGACTCAAAGCCGGTACGGTGTCTGGTAGCAGCAGCCGCAGTGTTTTGAGTCGACTCAAAGGCGGTACAGTGTCTGGTAGCAGCAGCCGCAGAGTTTTGAGTCGACTCAAAGGCGGTACAGTGTCTGGTAGCAGCAGCCGCAGAGTTTTGAGTCGACTCAAAGGTGGTACAGTGTCTGGTAGCAGCAGCCGCAGAGTTTTGAGTCGACTCAAAGGCGGTACAGTGTCTGGTAGCAGCAGCCGCAGAGTTTTGAGTCGACTCAAAGGCGGTACAGTGTCTGGTAGCAGCAGCCGCAGAGTTTTGAGTCGACTCAAAGCCGGTACGGTGTCTGGTAGCAGCAGCCGCAGAGTTTTGAGTCGACTCAAAGGCGGTACAGTGTCTGGTAGCAGCAGCCGCAGAGTTTTGAGTCGACTCAAAGGCGGTACAGTGTCTGGTAGCAGCAGCCGCAGAGTTTTGAGTCGACTCAAAGCCGGTACGGTGTCTGGTAGCAGCAGCCGCAGAGTTTTGAGTCGACTCAAAGCCGGTACGGTGTCTGGTAGCAGCAGCCGCAGAGTTTTGAGTCGACTCAAAGCCGGTACGGTGTCTGGTAGCAGCAGCCGCAGCAGCCGCAGTGCATGTGCAGAGTCAGTACGACTGGTGCTTCTGAAAGAAAGCAACACAAGGTAAAAGAAAAAGAAACAAACCGTCTGCCTGAGCACACATCCCCGCATGCATGCATGCAGGTGCTGGCGGAGAATCTGGGAGTACCGGACGTGGAGCAGCAGGCATGAGAAGTGAGACGATACTTGAGGCATGTCCGTCCGTTCCCCATTCTGCCCGCACATGCAGGTGCTGGTGGAGAAGCTGGGAGTACCGGGCGTGGAGCAGCAGGTGGGGATAGAGGCGGCGCGCAGAGCCAGTGGGGGAAACTCCCTGGGGATGGCGACTGCGGAGGGCTCCCTAAGCGTGGAGACTTTTGAGTCGACTCAAAAGTTGACTGCGGAGGGCTCCGAGTGCGTGGCGAGTGGGGAGGGCTCCGTGTGCGTGGCGAGTGGGGAGGGCTCCGAGTGCGTGGCGAGTGGGGAGGGCTCCGAGTGCGTGGCGAGGGCGAGTGGGTACTGGGAGCAGCGGTGGGCGCGCGTGTGCACTCTTGAGTTCGACCGCCTCCGCAAATCCATGAGTGTGCTCGTCACTCCCCTCGGGGGGCACGACGCAGGGGACGGGGGAGGGGGCATGCAGCAGGGCGGGGCAGTGGGGGAGAGGGGGGCAGTGGGGGAGGAAAGTGGAATCACAGGAGAGCAGGGGGAGGGGGTGCGCAGTGCAGGGAACAGGCTGCTGGTGAAGGGAGCAGCAGAGTGTGTGCTAGGGCGTTGCTCCTCCATGCAACTCCCCTCGGGCATCATTGTCCCTCTCTCCCCCTCTGCACACACCCGCCTGAACCACAGCATTGCAGCCATGGCCTCCCAGGGCCTCCGCGTGCTGGCCTTTGCCTTTCGGGATCACCTCCCCCCTGCTCTTGCGAGTTGGAAGACGGGGCGAGATGGGGGCGAGGAGAGCAAGGAAGCGGGTGAAGGAAGCAGGGAAGAGGCTGGCGGGGATGGAAGGGAGGTGCTGGGGAGTGGGGAGGGGTGGAGTGAGGAGGTGCGGCGGTGGGTGGAGGATGGGAGCCGGTATGAGGAGCTAGAGAGCGAGCTCACGTTTGTGGGGCTGGTGGGGATTAGAGACCCGCCGAGGCCTGAGGTGGCGGGGGCAATAGCAGCGTGCACGAGTGCTGGCATGCGCGTGATTGTCATCACTGGGGACTCGGGGGCCACTGCTGATGCTGTTGCAACACAGATCGGGCTGTTTGGGCGCAGTGATGGTGGTGGTGGGGAGAGACACGGTGACATGCACAGCGAAACGGATCCGGCCCGGCATTCGTACGCGGCAGCAGATTTCGTTCGGCTGCCAGAAGAGGAGCAGCTGAGGATTTTGGGAGGACGGCCAAAGGGGACACACGGCACAGGCGGGGAGAGAGGTGGGGATAGGAGCAGCGGAAGGGCGAGGGGCGGCAATCTGGTGTTCTGGCGGGCGGAGCCGGCACACAAGCAGGCGATCGTGCGGGCGCTGCGGGCGCAGGGCGAGGTGGTGGCCATGACGGGCGATGGCGTGAACGACGCCCCTGCGCTCAAGCTGGCGGACATTGGGATCGCCATGGGGGCCACTGGCACTGAGGTGGGTGGGGAGGGGTGGGGTGGGGTGACTGTTGAATAGGGCTCAGGTGTTGATCAGTTCAGTTAGTGAAAAGGGCTGGGTCCATTACAGCATGCGAGCGCTTTCGTAACGGTTCCAACCAGTGACAGATGGATGCAGAGGGTTGCCATGGGCAACGGATGGTGACGGTGATGGGCAATGGGTGAATCGCGCTTTCACCCTCAAAATGGGTGGAGAGGGGTGCAGATGGCACAGAGGTGGGTGCTGATTGAGATCTCTCAGAATGATGCCCCATCCCCATCCCCATCCCCATCCCCATCCCCATCCCCATCCCCATCCCCATCCCCATCCCCATCCCCATCCCCATCCCCATCCCCGTCCCCATCCCCATCCCCATCCCCATCCCCATCCCCCACTCATCCAAACGCCATCCACCCACAGGTGGCCAAGGAAGCAGCGGACATGGTCCTAGCAGATGACAACTTGGTCCTAGCAGATGACAGCTTGGTCCTAGCAGATGACAGCTTGGTCCTAGCAGATGACAACTTGGTCCTAGCAGATGACAACTTGGTCCTAGCAGATGACAACTTGGTCCTAGCAGATGACAACTTGGTCCTAGCAGATGACAACTTGGTCCTAGCAGATGACAGCTTGGTCCTAGCAGATGACAGCTTGGTCCTAGCAGATGGCAACTTGGCCACCATAGTCAAAGCTGTGAGGGAGGGGCGCTCCATATTTGACAACATGCGTGCCTTCATCCGCTACCTCATTCGAATCCTCCCCTCCCCATTTGACTGCAACACGTTTGCTTCAGGTCATACCAACTTCACCTCCTTGTCTCCTTCTCATTCTACCCTCTACCCCGTACCCCGTACCCCATCCGCAGGTAGCAAAAGAAGCCGCGGACATGGTCCTAGCAGACGACAATTTCGCCACCATCGTCGAGGCCGTGCAGGAAGGCCGGGTGATCTTTGACAACATGCGGGCCTTCATCCGCTACCCCATCTCCTCCAACATCGGCGAGGTCATCGCCATCGTCGCCATCATCATCATCATCATCATCATCATCATCATCATCATCATCATCATCATCATCATCACCTCACCCCCGTCCCCACCCCATTCCCGCCCGCATGCCACCCATCCCCCATGCGCAGGTGGCCAAGGAGGCCGCAGACATGGTATTAGCAGACGACAACTTTGCAACAATAGTCGAGGCGGTGCGGGAGGGCCGTGCAATCTTCGACAACATGCGCGCCTTCATCCGCTACCTCATCTCCTCCAACATCGGCGAGGTCATCGCCATCTTCGCAGCATCCCTCCTCGGCCTGCCCTCCTCCTCCTTCCTCCTCCCCGTGCAACTGCTCTGGGTCAACCTCGTGGGGGACGGGGCTCCTGCTGTGGCGTTGGGGTTTACGCCGCCCGAGGCTGATGTGATGGCACGGCCGCCGAGGGAGAGGGATCAGGGGCTCGTGTCGCCGTGGGTGCTGGTGCGGTTTGGGGTGCTGGGGGTGTATATCGGTGCTGCGACTGTTGGGGTGTTTTCTGTGTGGTTTTTGAATGGGGAGGTGGTGGGAGGGGGGGTTGGAGGGATGGGAATGGGGGTGGGGGCGGTGGAAGAGAGTGTGAGGGGGAGGGGGGTGGGGGACGGAGGTGGAGGGTGGTTTGCGCCGTTTGAGTTGGAGAAGGACGGGCATTCGGCTGTGACGTGGGAGCAACTGTCCCACTCCCGAACCTGCTCCGTCTGGTCCGTGCCTGCTGCTGCTAGCGCCGCTGGTGGTGCTCCTGCTGCTACTCTCACCGCCCCTCCTCTTGTAGACCCACCAGCAACCGCAGCAGCAGCAGTAGGAGCAGGAGTAGGCTCACCCGCACCTGCCCCGGCACCAGAATCTCCCTTCAACCCACATCTCTCCTACACAGTAGCAGGCGGCGGCACGGTCTCCTTCCCAACCCCCTGCGACTACTTCACGAGCGGCACCACCAAGCCATCTACCCTCGCACTCACCACCCTAGTGACCATTGAGATGCTCCTCGCCCTCAGCTCCGTCTCTGAGTACCGCAGTTTACTGCAATCTCCACCGTGGATCAACAAGTGGCTCATCCTGGCCGTTGGTGCGTCCATGGGGCTCCATGTGGCGCTGCTGTACTCGCCGCTCGCGGGCGTGTTTGAGGTGGTGCCGCTGACATGGCAGGAGTGGGCGCTGGTGGTGGTGTTCTCGCTGCCTGTGCTGCTCGTGGATGAGGGGCTCAAGCTGGTGGGTCGGCAGATTTTTGCACGGCAGAGGGGAGAGGCTAGAAAGACCCTCAAGGGTTAAATCAGGTCTCAGTGGCTCCCAAGTGTCCTCTCCGCTGGTGGTGCTGTTCTCACTGCCCATGCTGCTGGTGGATGAGGGGCTCAAGCTGGTGGGTCGGCAGATCTTTGCACGGAAGAGAGGAGAGACTAGATAGAGGATCATTGGGCACTACATGAGGTTTCAAGCATTGCAATGGCTCCAAGTGTACTCTCCGCTGGTGCTGCTGTTCTCACTGCCTGTGCTACTCGTGGATGAGGGGCTCAAGCTGGTGGGTCGGCAGATCTTTGCACGGCAGAGGGGAGAGGCTAGAAAGGCCCTCAAGGGTAAAATCAAGTCTCAGTGGCTCCCAAGTGTCCTGTCCGCTGGTGGTGGTGGTGTTCTCGCTGCCCGTGCTGTCCTCTGGTGGATGAGGGGCTCAAGCTGGTGGGCCGGCAAATCTTAGCACGGCAGAGAGGAGGGGCTAAATAGGCTGTCAAGAGTTAAATAACGTTTCAGTGGCTCCAACTGTCCTCTCCTCTCCTCTGGTGCTGAAGCTCTCTTTGCCCGTGCTGTTCGTGAAGCAAGGGCTCAAGCTGGTGGGCAGGCGGATTTTCATGTGGCACAAGTAGGAGAGGTGGTGCCGAGGGTGGATCCAATGGAGGGGTACATGTGGAACCCAGGTTGGGAGCCGAATCTTTTTAAGGTAGAGTTTTGAGACGTCTCAAAGCACTACTTCAGACACGTTGGGAGCCAAATCTATTCAAGGTAGAGTTTCCATGGCTCGAGAGTGTCCCCGGGCTGGGCTCTCTTTGCTCGTGCTGTTGGACCACCAGACCAGAGCAGGGCCTCAGGCTGCGTAGCATGGCAGGCAGGTGCACTGTAGAAACAGCTGCTGAGGGGTGCTGCTGAGTGAGCTGGTATATAAGAGCAATGATTGTCGGAATCCCAACCACTAGACAATTGGGATACCGTATTACCCCGGATAGTAGCGCATATGCGCTTATAATAAAATCATTTTTTTTTTTAAGGGGGGCGCTTGTAATTGAATATCGGCCATAAGCGCCGGCGCTTATATAACGACAAGTACAGAATGTCAGAATCTGGAACGAATGAATGAGTGAACTAGAAAGCAGGTGGGTACAAGTAGGAAACCTAAAAGTGTTGTACCCTATAAGAACTACCCCACTACAGTCTAAACAGACTATAGCATATAAGTTTGACACACCCCCATAGGCAAAGTGGGGGAGAACAAGAGGTCACAAGACCAGTCAAGAAAGGCAAAACAACCTCAAGGTGGATCACAAAGTCACCACGCAGTCTGAGCACAAGCAAATGGCCACAAGGCCAGTTCACATGCAGAGTTACATAAACGAGAGCAAACAATACAGTGAACACAACCTAGCAAGTCTAAGCATGCAGGTATATGTATAAAGAGTACAGTACAAACAGAGTCAAGAAGTAAGCAAGTGAGGTACAGTAGGTACAAGACCTAACACAGTACAGAAACGCTGATCATCACAAGGCTGAAGTGCCTTGGTGAAAACATCAGCAGTGTTGGCCTGAGAGGCCACATAAGCAAGACGAAGCTGGCCACGCTGCTGCAACTCTCGAACAAGGAAGTAGCAAAGAGCAATGTGCTTCGTTCTGTGCTCCAGTCTGTGCTCCTGACACAAGGCAAGCATGGCCTTGTTGTCGACGTACAGAACTGGAGGAGAACGAGGCGCCTCTCCCAAGTCGGTCAGCAGGTAGGTGAGCCAGCGTAGCTCCTGTGCAGCCATGGCCCCAGCGTAGATCTCAGCCTCACAACTAGAGCAGAGAACAGAAGAAGAGCGGGTAGACCGCCAAGAGACAGAACCGGAGCCAAGACTGAAGGTGTAACCCTGTGACGACCGCAGCGTAGCCAAGTCGTCAACCCAGGAGGCATCAGCGTGACCAGTGAGGACAACTCGAGCCCGTCCTCCAAGCACGAGCCCCATGCCCGATGTACTGCACAAGTAGCGCAACACCCTCTTCGCAGCATCCCAGTGCACCTTTCGGTGCCTGCCGGGAGCCACGTAGCGAGCTAGAAGGCTGAGAGGGTATGTGAGGTCAGGTTGTGTGCAAGTCATCAGGTACATGAGGCAGCCCACAAGCTGCCTCATGAGGCAGCCCACAAGAGCGGGTAGACCGCCAAGAGACAGAACCGGAGCCAAGGCTGAAGGTGTAACCCTGTGACGACCGCTGCGTAGCCAAGTCGTCAACCCAAGAAGCGTCTGCGTGACCAGTGAGGACAACTCGAGCCCGTCCTCCAAGCACAAGCCCCATGCCCGACGTACTGCACAAGTAGCGCAACACCCTCTTAGCTACATCCATGTGCTCCTTCCTGTGTCTGCCAGGAGCGACATAGCGTGCTAGAATGCTAAGAGGGTAGGCAAGGTCAGGTAGAGTGCACGTCATCAGGTACATGAGGCAGCCCACAAGCTTTGGATACAGGCCACTCGGCTCTACGGACTCGTCCGAAGGTGGAGCTGAGAGCGAGTGACCGGTAGGCAGAGGAGTGGACTGTGGCGAGGAGTACGTGAAGCCGAAGCGCTGAAGGACCTGCTGCACCATGTGTGACTGAGTCAAGGTAATGGTGCGCTGTGCTCTGTCCCGGGTGATCCGCAAGCCAAGATAGCTTGTCAGCTCACCCATGTCTATGCACGTGTGTCTCTTCTCCAGCTCGGACTTCACGTGGGCGAGTGCCTCAGTGTCAGCAGGAGCAAAGATGAGGTCGTCTACGTACACGAGAACGCAGAATAGCGGCAAAGTGGTGTCAGTGCGTAAAAACAGAGAAGGGTCAGCAGTGGAAGGAGCAAAACCAAGAGCAGCAAGAGTCGTCCTTAGTGTGTCGTGCCACTCACGGGGTGCCTGGCGGAGACCGTAGACTGGCCGCCGGAGGCTCCACTGGGTACCAGCAGGAAACGACCCAGTGAAGCCTGGTGGGCGGCGCAGCCAGATCTCCTCGTGCAGGCTGCCATGTAGAAAGGCTGTGCTGAAGTCAAGCGAGTGGAGCTCGTAGTCACGGTGAGCGGCAACGTGCAGTAGTACCCGAAGAGTGGTCATCTCGGGGTAGGGGAGAAGGTATGGAAGAAGTCAACTCCCTGTTGCTGACTGAAGCCACGTGCAACGTAATGCGCCTTGAAGACAGGCGGAGAACCCGGCGGCCGCTTCACCCTGAAGATCCACATGCCACTGACGATGTTCGCCCCAGGCGGGGGAACCTCGTCGACGTAGGTGCCTGTGGACTTCCAGGAAGCCATCTCGGCGTCCATGGCTGCCTGCCACTGAGAGGAGTAGGGACCCTCTATCGCCTATGCGTAAGAGCGCGGGGTCAGGATGTCTGGTGCATCCGGGTCTCCCTCAGGGGCAAGCAGCATGGACATGAGATGAGGTACAGCAGCGGCAAAGCACTCAAACTCCTCCTGTCTGTCCTCAAGAACGTCCGTGCCAAGAGCACACTCACCCCCGACGGACAAAGGACAGACAGACGCAGACGCAGACTCAGCAACAAGACTAGTGGCGAAGTCTAGGCGACAGGCTGCAGCAAAGTCAACAAGCTCAGCAACGAGAGCAGACGCAGCAGTGGACTCAAACAAAGGGTCAGTGGCCAGAAAGCGCGTGATAGTAGGACTAGCAGCACGAAGGGAGTCAGACTCCGGGTCCGGACCGTCAGGAAGAGAGGACGCTGGAGGAGACGGCAGAGGGACACGCTGTGGAGCAATGGAAGGACGCAGTGTCATAGAGTGAGTGCCAGGGACAGGAGTAGGACACGGACGCGAAACACGACGACCAGCGCGAACAGTGCAGACAGGAAACGCAGGACGATACTCAGGTGACGCAGGACAAGACCCAGGCAACACAGGACTCGACTCAGGCTCACGACGCTCCGTAAGACCTCTAGTCGGTCCAGAGTAAGGAGAAGGACCAGGCAGTGGAGAGGTCGGCTGTAACTGCGACTGTGACTGGACAGGCGGTGGACTCAGGAAAGGAGGAGTAGGACCAAGAGAAGGCGGGAGACCAAGAACCTGCTGAAGGAGCGGAACGTAGTACGGCCGCGGCCGCGCAGCGCCTCCAGAAATAGCAGAGACAGCACCAGTACCCTTAGCTCCAGGGTCGCCAGCTACAAACCCCCGCAGCACCACCAGCTCCAGTACCTACAGCAGCTCCAGCTCCAGAAGCACCTCCAGGAGCATCAGCTCCAGCACCTGCAGCTCCAACTCCAGGACCAGCGGCTCCAGCAGCTCCAGCACCAGCAGCACCTCCAGTAGCACCAGCACGAGCAGCAACTCGAGCAGCTCCAGCACCAGCAGTACCTCCAGCACCTCCAGCACCAGCAGTACCTCCAGTAGCTCCAGCACCAGCAGCACCAGTACCTGCAGCGCCAACGCCTGCAGTACCACCAGCCCCAGCAGCTCCAGTACCACCAGTACGAGCACCTCCAGTACCAGCGGCTCCAACAGCTCCAGCACCAGTTGTACCTCTAGCAACTCCAGCACTAGCAGCACCTCCAGTAGCTCCAGCACCAGCAGCACCTCCAGCAGCTCCAACACCAGCAGCACCTCCAGCAGCTCCAGTACCAGCAGCACCAGTAGCACGGCGACAGCGTCCAGTGTACCACTCACAAAGCCGCTGCGGAGAGAGGGGCTCCCGCCGCAACGGGACACCCGGAGAACCTCCAGACTCAGCACACGCAGGCTCAGCACCCCAAGACGCAGTACCCCAAGGCTCAGCACCCCCAGGCTCCACACGCTCAGGCTCAACACCCCCAGACTCCGCACCCCCAGTCCCCGCACCCGCAGGCCCAGCACCCCTAGCAGCACCTGAGTCGACAGCTACCTTGACCGGCTCGGCAGGGTCTACCTGAGACATACCTGAGGGGGCAGGACCCTGAGGGGGGAGGGGGTCTACCGGAGGAGAACCTGGTGCTAGGAAAAGTGGCGGGGGGGGGAGAGAGGCAGTGCGGTAGGGAAAGAGACCGTAGTAAGACACCGACTCGTCAAACGTGACGTCCTGAGAGGACAGAACACGACGCGAGGTGGGGTGGTAGAACTGCCACCCGGGTGCGTCAGGGGGGAAGCCAAGGAAGACGCAGGGAACGGCACGGGAGGACAGCTTGTCCGCTGAAGTATCGCGGACAAAAGCTCGAGATCCCTAGACACGGAACGCGGACGCATCGCCAACCTTCCCCGTCCACCTAGAGTAGGTGTGGTCTCCGGCAAGGAGACACGAGGCTGAAGGTTGATCTGATGCGCAGCGTAATGAACCGCGAACGGCCACAGAAAATGGGGAGCAGCCGCATGGATCATGGACGTACGAGTGACGTCCATGACCATGCCAATGCGGCGCTCAGCAATCCCATTTTGCTGTGGGGAGGCCAGAAGCGTGAACGTCTGGCGGATGCCCTCCGCACGACAGAAGGCCCTCAGAAGGTCGGAGGAAAAC